CATTAAACAAGTCGGGGATACATTCCTTCAAGCTTTCAAAAAACAGATCAGCACATACACAGTAAGTCAGTATGGACTTGGCACCTGGGAAGTGGGCTTATCATAGAAGGAGTACCAGCATTGGTGTCCCAGGAAGGGAGGCATTTAATCTTTATTTTTAATATGGACATTACTTTTGGTCAATGTGTCCTTTTCTTTAATAATTAAAGCAGATGTACAATGTATGTTTGATAGGCCACAAACAGGCTGTTTTAGTTAGCATCAAATTCAAGTTAACACATGTATAAGCCAGAATGACTTCCCCATACTTCAATATGTGAACATTTCCTTTATCATAAGCAATGGAATATTTTGCAGCCACCAGAAAGAATGAGGAAGTTCTATATGTACTGCAACGAAAAGATCTTTGAGATATGTTGTTAAATAAAAGCAAAACGCAGGACAACATATCTAGTATCTGTGTTATAAAAAAGTTGGGGGTTGTATATGTATAGACTATCTCTGGAAGGACACATAGAATCTGGTAACTGCTGTTGCCTCTGGAGAGGGAAACTGGGAAGGTGGAGGAATGGGAGAGAGACAGTTGCTTTTCATTGTACAAGTTTTGAATTTGTACCACGTGCTATCAAAAAGGAAAAAAAGAAACCACATTAAATCACTTAAAAAACAGTGATATATCTACTGAATAACACTCAGAGGATAACGCAGCCACTCCTCCCACTTCCTTTCTCCTCCCCAACATTTATACACAGGGTAGCTGGCTGAGTACAGAATTTTCCCCTATAATGTAGCCCTGGGAATAGAAGTGCATTTTATAACCCATAAGCCAACTGAAGGCATTTTACTTTAAAGAGATGTGTCATAAACCATACAGGCCTCAGAAAATTATTTGTTGGAAATAGTGAGGATCACCTGTTTACTAATTTAACACACATCTGTTGACACCACTATGTGCTCAATTTGAGTTGGGTGCTGGGCCAAGTTCTTAACATTAGCTCACAGCCTTCTTGGGGAACTAGACAAAGAGATGATGATAACCCAATCTGGCATGCCAGGAGCTACTGGCAGTTCCATTTTTGCGGGGTAAGGTAGGGAGATGAGGCTGGAGAGTCTACATGGATCTGGTTGTGAAGGGTCTTGAAGGCCTTGCTTTTAAGCAGGTGAGACCTCACCATCTGCAAGGTGGACACATCACTGGTTGCTGGAGTGGAAGATGGACTGGAGCGCACCAGAAAGATTGGTCAGGAGCCTGGGGCAACTTACCAGGGGGAATTTGGCAAATGCCTGCCTGAAAATATATTTATAGTTCTTTATTTTTTGTATCTAAGAGCTAGAAATTATAAAATAACATCAGGTAATAATCAGGGTTGTGTCAGAGAGCAACCCTGTACGTTGGTTAAGGTATACTGCTGAAATAAATTAACAATTGAACTTTAGGTGGTTAAATAGTTTTTCCAACTTTGGAATTTCTTATTCATTACAAGGGAAATTAATTGGGAAAGAAAAAAAAATCAGAAAAATTTACAATCTTTTATGCTCTAGTAAAATTTATATATCAGTGGCAAATCTCTGTAGCTTACAAGTTTGAAACGCAAAAGCTAAAACCTGGCAGTAGCTTCCTTTGTGTTAAACTGCCAAAGCTCATCACACAGGCTGGTCTGGCTGTGTGGTCTCGCCTCTTCCCATCCAACCTCATCTTGCTCACATGGTTCCCAACTCTCTCTACTCACACCCCCCACTTTTTAAAAAAAAATTATTTTTGGCTGCGTTGGGTCTTCATTGCTGCGCAGGCTTTCTCTAGTTGCAGCAAGCAGGGGCTACTCTTCCTTGCAGTGCACAGGCTCATTGCGGTGGCTTCTCTTGTTGCAGAGCATGGGTTCTAGGCATGCAGACTCAGTAGTTGTGGCACACAGGCTCAGCAGTTGTGGTTCACAGGCTCTAGAGCTCAGGCTCAGTAGTTGTGTCACACAGGTTGTTTCTCTGCGGCACGTGGGATCTTCCCAGATCAGGGCTCGAACGCATGCCCCCTGCATTGGCAGGCAGATTCTTAACCACTGCACCACCTGGGAAGCCCCAGACCCGTTATCTTGAGACGGCATAGTCGTGGGTGTGCTGGGAAGTGTTTGTGCCAGTAGGGAGTAGTGGGGGATGGGCTGGATGTGCTAAGGATGGCACATTACCATCTAACCCTGGAGTGTCCCAAACAGTGGTCCTCATCTTCTGTCATGGTGTCTATCAGTAAAACTAGAAAAGCGAGGTGCAGAATGAACTGCTCCTCCTAGGAGGATGGGGTAGAGAAAAGTCCCTGTCAATAATTGCTCAACTCTTGTTAGGCACAGATAGGACAATTCATATGAATATATTTTTTTATAAACTAATTCACCAATATAAGCTTAATATTATCTACATTACTTTATACTTTTTCTATAACAATGTATTCACGAAAAATACTATGAGATAAAGCATGTTAAAGAAATTTTTAAAAATAAATAATTGCTCAACTCTTGTCTAATACCATGCAGATCAGCTGGCAGAAGAAAAGGTGGCTGAGGGACTTTAACTCAGAGTTCTCAAAAACGCACTTTTGGGGGGTTAAGCCAAAGGTCAGACTGTCAGTGTGGAGAACCTACTTCAGATTTTAAAAGTATGAAATAGCACCCAGGCAAATTTTGGCTCACTTAGTTGAGAAGGTCATACCATAAGGTGTTAATCATATGGCATAATATAATAAAGCCAATGCTAATAGTCTGGTCAGATGAACAGTACTATCATAAATACATCCAAGTTGACTCAGGCATTTCTAATAGGCCATTTACTTTTTGCCTCCCCAGCCAGGGGGCATCTCAGAGGCATCTCAGAGGTCTAATTTCATGATGACCCAAGCCTGACAGTGGTGGGCTCAGGGAAAGTGGACTGTAATCATATGGAGGGCCTTCAGACTGCACTAATGCTGGTGGAAGGACAGCTGCTGGAGCTGCCATTGGGATGAGTGGCAGCAGGTCTTGGCCTTAGCCCAACTGTAAGCACATTCCAAGGGGCAGCAGCTCTCATTAAAAACAAACAAAAGGAACAACAAAGTTAGCTGAGAAATATGTTCCTTGTGAGGGATTCAAGGCAAGGAGGTAATAGTGAGGACAAGGCGGGCCATAGGGATAGTATTGAAGGCAGATCTCTGTAGCAGTGAGCAGTTTTCCAAGTTTATTGTGGAATCTGGGGTTGCCAGTCACGTAAGCCTGCAGATGAACATGTGTGGGCCCAGGGCATGGAGAGTTCCAAGTAACCTCTTGAAATGCTGCTTCACCTGAAGCTCAATAGGGAAGAAAGGATGAGTTGCTGATCATCTAACAGGAGATGCCTACCCACACCAGTGGCCTTTATTAGGTGGGAGCTGAATTTAAAGAACTTGGGTATTTAAAGCTGCTGGAAGCTTCCAAGTCCATGTTCAACCTGAAGTCCTGATTCCACCATGACAGACTATCCTCTCCTGTAACTTGGAGCTGAGGTGCAGCATTCGTAGGGGCCGGCAGTTGCCCAAATTGATAGAGAGCACTTCCACAGACCAGGAACCTATCACACTGCTTCCCAGACAACAGTTGACTTGCTCTTCCACCTTCATGCTGTAGTATGCTCCAGTCTGCAGTAGTGCGGGCTCCGCATTCTTTGTGGTGGGGAAGAGGAGGTGCCCCCAGAGGCTGTGTGTGAAGGGACACAGATGTTATTTTATCTGTGACTTCTACTGACAGCACTGAAGAATTAAAGATAGTGAAGGAACTGTACCTGCAGGAGTATTACTTAGACTTCTGGGAGTGGACACTGCCCCTGCCAGAGAATGTCATGGTGCTGTTGACTACTCCATGGAATTACTCAACATGCTGCTCACCACTGTCAGAACGGGGTAATCTTTAAGTGGTGGAATACCCAGGTGGAGGACAGGAAATGGCCACTTCCAAATGCAAAATCAGAAATTCAAAGCTCTCTGTGTTTTCTGTGAACAGAGTTGATACCTTCAGAAAAATAGACAAAAGCAGGGCAAGAACCAGGATGCAGCAGTTCAATATTCTGGGAGTAACAAATATACACTAATGCAGTGGACACAGAGGATTGCCCAGCCAAGGGAAAAAGTGGGTGAGAGCCTTTTGACAATTCCCTTGAGGCTCTAACCTCCCTTGTCAGATGCACATCAGGAAATGGCAAGTCACAGAAGTGGCAGTGCCCAGAACATCTCTAGGTGGCTGGGATCATCACACCCGAAGCTGAGCATGCCCCTGACTGCCGTGTGTAGCGTAACTACAGTGCAGAACAACTGGCGGGGGGAATGTCTGCACACATTAAGCCCCTACTTTAGGGATTATCCAAGGGTCAGAGTCAAACTGAAGCCCAGAGGAACAGGGTAACTCAGGAATTTTTATCAACCTCTGCCTTCCAGATAGGGGTCCTGAGTTCTGAAAGCTGGGTTTGGAGCAACATCCAGAATCATGGACTGTGTGTGAGGTCAGATCACCACAGTCTTCAAGGGCAAACTGGGTGGTAGTAACTGACGCAATGTTATCAGTTAGGAGTTGCTAAATCAAAAAGGGACACACGGTTCAAATGAATTGTCCCAGGAGAAGAATACAGGTAAGAAGCCAGTGGACACATGAACCAGGGAAATCTGAAAAAAGGTGGTTTGAAGCAGAAGGTGGGAAGCATAATTTAAGTAACTCCTGGGCCAATGCACAGGTGACTGCACTTTCTTTACACTGGGTGTAAGCAGTGGGGGTGAGGAAAACAAAGGGTTCCATTAAAGGTAGAAACCCTCCTATGTAAGAGAATCAAGTACAGTAAAATGCTTATAGACCATTTTCTTACTTTTTTGTTCCTGTGCTTCTCAATTTTTACAATTTTATAATTTCTCTTAAGGGTCAACTAATTTCTATGTTGTTAATGAAGGTCCATGTTGGTTCTGATACTTGGTAATTCAGACTAATTCAGACTATTCAACTGAGGCAGTTCTGAATTATGAGTGTTTGCCATTCTTAAGTTCTCAAAACCCACACTACTGTGAACCTTGACTCTCAGTAAATAAAATGACTATATTCATGTAAGCTTTCATGGTTATTCTGTAGAATGGAAATTCTCTTGCATTCAGTAATTAATACATTTAGTCTCAAAGTTCTTCCATATCACTTTTCTCCAATATGATGTCTCTGATGCTGAATGAGGTTTGCAGTCTGGTTGAAAGCTTTCCCACATTTATTACATTTATAGGGTTTCTCTCCTGTGTGAATCCTCTGATGTTGAGTCAGATGTGTACTTCGGATAAAGGCTTTCCCACAGATTTTACATTTATAAGGTTTTTCTCTAGTATGAATTCTCTTATGTTGAGTGAGGGCTGAATGGTCACTGAATGCTTTCTCACATATATTACACGCATAAGGTTTCTCCCCAGTATGAATTCTCTGATGCTGGGCTAGGGCTGATTGGTCCCTGAAGGCTTTCTCACACAAACCACATCTGTAAGGTTTCTCTCCAGTATGAATTTTCCGATGTCGAGCAAAGGATGAATTATCCCTGAAAGCTTTTCCACATTCATTACACTTATAAGGTTTCTCTCCAGTATGAATTCTTTGATGTTCAGTAAGGGAAGAGTTCACCCTGAAAGCCTTCCCACATTCATTACACTCAAAAGGCTTCTCCCCAGTGTGAATTCTCTGATGCTGAAGAAAACTTGTACTCTGATTGAAGGCCTTCCCACATTCATTACATTTATAGGGTTTCTCTCCACTATGAATATTCTGGTGTTTGGTAAGATGTGCCCTGCACACAAAGGCTTTGTCACATATGTTACATTTAAAAGGTTTCTCTCCAGTATGTATTCTATGGTGGTGGGAAAGGTGTATGTTTCGGATAAAAGCTTTTCCACATAAGTTGCATTCAAAAGGCTTCTCTCCAGTATGAATTTTCTGATGATAAGTAAGTGAAGAGCTCACTGAGAAGGCCTTACCACATTCCTTACATTCATACGGCTTCTCACCAGTGTGAATTCTTTGGTGATGGATGAGGTGTGTGCTCTGGTGAAAGGCTTTCCCACATTCTCTACATTCATATCGCTTCTCTTTAATAAGAATTTTCCGATTTGCATTAAGTTTTTCAGTATGAATCTTCTGATGTTTATTGAGGGTTGAACTCTTAGTGAAGACTTTTCCACACTCACTACACTCAAAGGCTTTTCTGCTAGATTGAAATCCCTGACTCTGAACAAAGGATGAGCTCATGGTGCAGTGCTTCCCAGATTCATCACATTTCTGGTCACCAACCACAGATGAAGTTTTCTCATGAGCAAGCATCACTTGCTGCAACTTTATCTCCTGGCTTCCATGCTGCCATTCCAACAGTGTTTCATATTTCCAGTAACTATCTCTAGTGAATCTTTCCTTTATCATCCACTGACCCAATTCTCCTTCAGGAATATCTGCCTTGAGAGTTGATTTCTTACTCACAGGTGTAGTCATCCAATCTGAAAGACATCAAAAATTAAAATGTCTGTTTTATCCTAGTAAAACATCTAGTTGGGATAAGAACGTGACCTTGTTTATAATGCTAACAGAGAGGTTGTAATTTTGAAGATTTCTTGAAGTGAAGATAAAACAGGAAAAGGGAGAAGAGGTGAACAGAAGACATGGCAGAAAGGGGTTGACAACTATACAATGTATGAAGCAGGAGAGCTTGGAGCTGGCATTCAGAAGTCACAGGCCTGAGCTGGGATCCTGAGTACAATATTTATTTTCTTTGTGATTACAGAGAAGTTACCTGAATTTTGAAGGCTCAAAAACACCTGTAAGACCACACTATGCTAACAGATAAGAAAAAAATGTACCTTATCTGTTTTAGTGATACGGTCTTTAAAATAACCTAGGTGTGACCTTAAGAAACCATTGAAACTAGAGGTCAACACTTGGTAGAAAAAAAGTTCAGCTTCGGAGTAACTACTAAAACCAGGATTTATGTTTTGTAGACTCATTTTAGCATTCAGATGGAAAATAAAAAGTTAGCCTACTATAGAGCCTGTGACTCACTGATACCTACTAATAAAGTTAGAACCTCCTGCTACCAGTGAGGAAGCAACATCTTCAAACCTAAATGAATAATGTGACATCAATATAAGGAACACGTACCATGAGGATGTATATGTGAGCATAAAAAATTAGGAACAAAGCAGCAAATCTGCCAGGATATATCCAGTATGTCTTGGAGGCAAGGCCCTGAATTTGGGGAAAGGAGTATAATAGTCATTAGAAATGGGACTCTGCTACTGGGATCTGGGCCAAGGTCCCATGAATTATCTGACAAAATGATTCCTCTCCCCAAAACCAAATTCCACACTTACTCAACAACAGTCTCACTTGGTCTCATGGGTATCCTGATATTAACAAGCAGAGTTCTGAATGCATACTAGCTTTCTGTACGTATTTGTGAATATCTGTCTTTTGTGTTAAATCTATTTAAGACTTTGTACTAAGAAATGCAATGATAAGGACTTGATACTAACACAGATGATGCAAAGATTCCTGGGAAAGCCTATCAAGAACAAGCCTCCTTCAATGCTTTTTTCTCCTACTCACTCCAGAAAATCTATAAAGAGTAATAATAATAATAATAATAATAATAATAATAATAATAATAATAACTCCTTGTACTTACCTGGAAAAGAAAGTTAAACAGGTGCACTTTAAGGCTAAAATCCTTGTGAGCTTAGAATATATCCTTGCTCAAAACAAAGAATATTTAAAGTTAAACACCAGTTTTGCCAAATCTCAAAATCTTAAGAACTGACTTTTGCTTCTGGACCTAACAGAGTAGCCTGTGGAAGACCAGATTCTTGCAAAAAATACCCGAAAAATCTGAATTGAAAAAAAAAAATCTGTCTAAAGGCATCAGATATCACTTGAAGCCAACTTGATAGTCTAATGTTTGGGATAGAAGGGAAATATAGAGATGATCCTAACAGTGTTTTTTTTTCATCAGAGAATTTGCTGAATTCTTAAGCTTCTCCAGGCAAGAGACAAAGCTAAGCAGAAATTCAGAATTCTCTATAGTCTTATAGTACTGTTGAGCCAAATACTGGAGTTCAGGACCTTCTGGGGGCCTGTGGGGTAAACAGTGGTCAGAGTAAACATGTAAAGCTCTCAGTTGGGACTCATGGAGGGCTACAACCTAGCAGCAAGGGCAAATAAGAGATAGGTAAAGCCTCATAAACATTCAACCCAACCTCCAGCTAATGAGTCCCTGGGTGGATGGATTAGGGTGGTTTGCTTGTACTCCAGCTGTCTACCAGAGGGAAGGCAAATCTTCTCTGGAGGAACATAACATCATCCAGAACCTATTCACTCCTTCACACATGATGTCAAGGATTCAGTCAAAAAGTACCAGGAGTACTAAGAAATTATTGAATCAAGAGAAAAAACAGACAATAGAGAAAGACCCTCAGAACTCAGATACGAATATTATCAGAAATGAGGTTTAAAATAAGTGTGACTAACATGTTCAATAAAACAGATAAGAATGAGAACTTTAACAGAGAATTGGAACGGAAGAATCAAATGAAAATTCTAGAACTGAAAAATATAACTGAAATTAAGAACTCAATAGATAGCTTTAACAGTATAACAGACATTGGAACTTCCTTGGTGGTCCAGTGGTAAAGAATCTGCCTTCCAATGCAGGGGACAGGGGTTCAATCCCTGGTCAGGGAACTAAGATCCCACATGCCATGGGGCAACTAAGCCCGTGCGCCATAACTACTGAGCCTGCGCGCCTCAACTAGAGAGCCCGTATGTCACAAACTACAGAGCCCACGTGCTCTGGAGCCCAAGCGTCACAACTAGAGAGAGAAAACCCGCACGCCACAACTAGAGAGAAGCCCACATGCCGCAATGAAGAGCCTCTGCACTGCAACAAGGTCCTGCATGCCACAACAAAGACCTGACACAGACAAAAAAATTTTTTTTAATAAATAAATAAAATGAATAAATATTTTAAGAAACAGTATACCAGACATAGCAGAAGAGAGGAATAGTGAACTAAAAAAAATACATAGGCAGAAAATATCCATGGTAAAACCTGGAGGAAAAAATTTAAAGAGACATATAAGACATGGTGAAAACATTTATTAACACATGTGTGACTGGAGTTTTGGAATGGGAGGAGGAAAAGAATGGGGCAAAAAACACTATTTTTTTTAAAAAAAGGTTGAAAAATAAATTTGAGAAGCACTACAGACTGCAAGCAGGATAAATTCAGAGAAAATCCACCTAGGTATACCATAGTAAAACTACTGAAAACATAAGACTAATTTGAAATTTCCTTGAGAGAAAGAATATATTACCTTTAAAAGAGAAAAAAATAAAACTGATAGCTCTCTTTTCAACCAAAAACAAGGGAAAACAGAAGACAATGAAATAGGGACTTCCCTGGTAGCACAGTGGTTAAGAATCCGCCTGCCAATGCAGGGGACATGGGTTCGAGCCCTGGTCTGGGAAGATCCCACATGCCGTGGAGCAACTAAGCCTGTGTACCACGACTACTGAGCCTGCACTATACAGCCCATGAACCACAACTACTGAGCCCTCATGCCACACCTACTAAAGCCTGCACACCTCGAACCTGTGCTCTGCAAAATGAGAAGTCACGGCAATGAGAAGCCCGCGCACTGCAACAAAGAGTAGCCCCTGCTCACCACAACTAGAGAAAGCCTGCATGCAGCAATGAAGACCCAACGCAGACAAAAATGAAAAAATAAATTAAATAAATAAAATTTTAAAAATAGCTCCATAATTGTTTAAAAAAAAAAAAAAGAAGACAATAAAATAGCATATGAAGTGCTGAAAGAACATAACTGCTAAACTAGAACTCAATAGAAACAAAATGTCCCAAAAAAGTAAATATGAAATGGTTATTTCCATACAAATAAAAACAGGGATTGTGTCACCAGCAGGCCCATATTAAAAAAACAATAAAAGGAGTGTTCCAGGCAGAAGAAAGATAATCCCAGGTGTAAAAGTAAGAAAAGGCAATGGAAAGAGTAAATAAAAATATTATTGCACAAAACAATAATTATAATGTCTTGAGAGGTTGAAAATATATACATAATTAAAATATATAGCAAAAATAACACAAGAGATGAAAGAAAGAAAATAGAATTGTTTTAAGCTATTAGCATTGCCTGGGAATTATTTATTTTGGATAGTAATAAGCTGGTTTTACTTATTAGACTTACCAATAAAAGACTGGTTAAAGAAGATAAAAGCTCATACAATCTTTAAGACTAGTTAAAGAAGATACAGGCTCATTGGAATATGGCACAATAAAAATAGTTGATTCAAAAGAAGACAAGAAAAAAAACAGACTTAAAACAGGTGAGTAAAATTAAAATTAAATAATGAAATAGTAGATGTCCAATCCTATACATATTAGCAGTTGGTCTAAATTATGCTATTAAAAAACTAAGGTTGGGCTTCCCTGGTGACGCAGTGGTTGAGAGTCCACCTGCCGATGCAGGGGACATGGATTCATGCCCCAGTCCAGGAAGATCCCACATGCCACAGAGTGGCTAGGCCTGTGAGCCATGGCCACTGAGCCTGCGTGTCCAGAGCCTGTGCTCCGCAACGGGAGAGGCCACAACAGTGACAGGCCTGCGTACCGCAAAAAAAAAACAAAACAAAACACTAAGGTTGTGAGGCTGGATTAAAAAAATAAAATCCAACTATATGGCACTCAGGAGAGAAATATCAAAAATATAGATCCAGGGCTTCCCTGGTGGCACAGTGGTTGAGAGTCCGCCTGCTGATGCAGGGGACGCGGGTTCGTGCCCCGGTCTGGGAAGATCCTACATGCCGCGGAGCAGCTGGGCCTGTGGGCCATGGCCGCTGAGCCTGCACGTCCAGAGCCTGTGCTCCGCAATGGGAGAGGCCACAACAGTGAGAGGCCCGTGTAACACACACACACACACACACACACACACACACACACACACACACACACACAAATAATAATTATAAATATATATATATAGATATCCAGAAATAAGGAAAGAAAAGAATGGAGAAGGATTTATCCAGCAAGCACTAACCACAAGAAAGCTGGTATACCTATACTAATATCAGACAAATCTCATAATATTAGAGAAAACAGGCTTTAAGATAGTTCATATTGACAAAAGGTTCAATTATCTAGGAAAATATAACAAATCTACATTTTCACATAACTTTAAAATGTATAAAGTAAAAATTGAGAAAATAAAAAGAAAAAATAGAGAAACCTTAACAATGATAGTGAGATATGTTTACACACAATTCTCAATAACTCAGAAATCAAACCATTATGAATAGGGGATCTGAATAACAAGATAAACAAACTTGATCTAAATGATATACTTATAACACTATACCCAACAATGACAGAATATACATATTTAAGTGCATAGAACATTTACCAAAACTGAACATATACTGGGATGTG